TCCTTGGATGAAGTTCTTATAAGAAATCTCAAACAGAGAGTACAAGGCTGAGAGATAAATGATTTTTGATATAACAAGAGGGAGTCAGTCTGTGTAAAGTAGGTCCTGTTACAGTCTCTTAGCAGAGAAAGGAACCTAGAGACAAGTGTTTGCCAGCTTAACACAAATAATTAAAATCACATATTTGTTTCCCTCCCTGCTAGCAGCCTGAGAGAGGATCTCTGGGGCCCAGACTTTTACTGAACCACATCCCTGCTGACATGTGGGATCTTCGGTAAACAATAAAGATGCCATGAAGAGACCTTGCTGCAATTGTCTACAGCATGTCAGCCTGGTCGTTGAAAACCGATGGTACAGAACAAAATCTGTAGAACTGAAAAATTGGCATTAGCTGATTTCATGTTATTTATTAGATTTCTTCCTTTCCTCTCTCCATTCCTCCTTTCATTTCTTTCTTCCTCCCTTTCTCCCTTCTTTCCTCCATCCCATCGTTGCAAATTTTTTTTGGAGAGATTTTCACTGTAGGGCGAGTGCGCTCGCCAGACAGACAGAGAGAGACATAGAGACAGAAAGCGAGAAATCACCCCCCAGGGGGGATGGTCACGCCACAGTCCCTTCTCCTCCATTCTCCTCTCGGGATCTTGGGCACGCATGCACACGCGCCCGGCGTGAGTTTTAAGCCACCAGGTCCGGGACACGAACTGCGGTCGACTACGTGGGAATCCAGCAACATAGCCATTATGCTAACTGCTGGTTCCCCCCATTGATGTAATTTTTAAAAATGTGAGCTATGTGTGTTCTCATGAGAGTGTTGCACACTTCATACTGAGCTGATACATTTCTTAGCGACTGCTTATGAATTGCAAAGTATGTTGGGGGCAGGGAAGTGGTACTCAATGCAGCACTGATATCCTTAGGCTTTCCTTCTCTCTGGGCTCCCAGCCTACATGTCTTTAGTACTCTTCAATGCATTCCAACAGATGTCTAATGATTTTTCTCCAGTATTTCTAGACATATAAGCACTAACTATTGCTCAAAACAATCTTTATTTTGGAAAGATTTCTGGGTACGTGTAGGGTACATGCTCTCACTGGAAACCCAGAAAGAGAGAGAGAAAGTGAGCAACCACTCCCCTAGGGGATGCCCACACTGTAATCCCTTTTCCTCTATTCTCCTCTTGGGATTTTTAGGACAAATGCAGATGCACCTGGCGTGAGTTTCAACCTGCCGTGTCAAGGATTTAAACTGTGGTCGGCCATGTGGGAGTCCAGCACCTTAACCACTACACCACCTGCTGGCCCCCAAAACAATCTTTAGACTATATATTGGTTTGTTGGAAAAGTCATAATGCATTTTTGCATGGAAAAACATAGAAAGATATATCATGACTTTTCAGATGACCTAATAGTGATGTATGTGGTGTGTGTGTGTGTGTGTGTGTGTGTGTGTGTGTGTGTGAAATACATGTTCATTGTACTCTCCTTTCAGTTTTAAGTATGATTTAAATTTCCTTCTTGGCGGGGTGTAGAGTGAGGGAGTATAGATGGAACCCTATTGGAAGGGTTCCCAGGTAATTGACATATTAACATGTTTAATCCCCATAATCCTTGGTAGAAGCGATTATTAGTACTTTATATACAATTTCCATTTTAAAGATAGGAAACAGGTTGAAACCCATTAAGTAATTTACTCAAGGGTGTAAAGTTAAGGAGAGTGGGAACTTGATAAATTGAGAACTTTCAATTATACCACCCAGCTCACCAAAGTTGTCTTGAGAGTGGGTTACCGGAAAACCCGGGAGGCTTCCATTCCAGGGAATTTTCTGAGGAGGGGCTGGAAAGTTTGTGTGTCATGGACATCAGATAACCATGAAAGCTCTGAGGAGGATCTTGAAGAGAGCTCTTGTCCCAGGCTGAAAGATGGCTGACCCAGATGTCGAGGGGTCTGGGCCAGCCCTGGCTGTGTGGCTAATTGGCTGGATGTTGGGTGGAGCTTTTCAGCTTTCTGAGCTTCTGCTTTTTAGTTCATTAAGGAGATATTGGGCTTATGACACTCCTTTTCATATATTCTATCCACAAAATCCATTCCTTTAAATGAATGCAACATCTAAGCTGAAAATATATGTATTAATTTTGTTACCATTTGAAATATCTAATTTATTTTTTCTCTCTGTATTTCTTTCTTTTTGTTTCAAGGCAGAAAAAAGAAAAATCTAGCTCCTCTCATTTTTCTGCCTCATCAAATTTTTTTTTCAGGATCAGCACCAAAAGCTGTGTGCTATCGGGTTCTCCTCTTGTGTAGTTTAAATAACTGAGAATTTATGTTATAGTGTGCCTTTAAGGGCAAAGAGATGAAAAGACAGCTGTCTGAGGATGCCATGTTGAGAGACAGAGAGAGAGATACTTTCCCAAGTTGAGTGTGGATAAGGGTATGAACTGGGGCAGGAGGAGGGAGGGTGATTCAGCCTGCAGCGTGCTTCACTCTGCAGCCGTGTCCAGGTAGACTGTGTCTCTGCATATGACTGGCGATGCTGCCCACGCGCAGCAGTCTGGTCAGAAACTGAGCATGACGCCTTGAAGATGAGAGGACTTCTCTCCATTTTTCAAGTACCATGAAAGCCCCTGTGATTTGTTTGATTTTGGGCGTGGCCAGGTCTTTGTAATAACTGGAATAAAATTTCAGGCCCGCCCAGGCTTAGAGTTTGACCCACTTATATTTCAGTAAAATATGGCTTTTCCCCCCCCAATTTCAGTTTGGGTGGCACTATTCATGCTCACTGGCTGCAAATCCACTCAGGAGGGTGCTGTTCACAGTGCCTGCCTTTTTCACTGTTTCCTGCCTTGCCTTCCAGGCACTGGAAGGACTAGAAGTTTCCAGTTCTGTGTAAACCCCATAATGTGCTGTTCTCAGGTCTGCTGTGGTAACATGTGCAAAAACTGTAGCATGTAACAAAAATACAGTTGAAACAAGTATTTTATTTTAAAAACAAGATGATTTTTATTCTTGTGGATTTCAAATCCATATCTTGGCCAAGCTACTGATCCAAGAAAAGAGACCTGGAAAATCAGGTAAAACGACATAAGTTCTGTAGTAATGGGATGCTTTGCTGTATCTCTGCTGCCTTGGCACACATTTGCTCAAGGAGGTATTGTTGACTTGCAAACGGGGGAGTCCTTGCCCAGAGGCCAAGCTGTCATCAGCTTTTGGTCAAAATAACAGACTGGAAGGGAGTCACTGCTGAGTGACCTGTCGGTTGGTGGGTTCTAACCTCACGAGGGACACATGTCCACATCATAAGGGTTGTCATGGCCCTGCTCAGATGAGAGATGTGGCTCAAGTTCTGGGAATGTGTCCTGCCTTCCTCATCCAGCAGGGTGAGGGCAGAAGGTGGGTTGGCAGACAACCCGTGAGGTGAGCATCACAGAAGAGAAAGTCTGCCATGATCCTCATGAAGCTTTGGGGATTTTGGATAGGGGCAGATGATGAGAAGCTGGCTGAGATCAAGATTCAACAGTACTTTGAAGGCCATTTGAGGCTGTAAGAGAGTAGGCTACTAGAAGATTGGAGCTAAGCTGGGCCCCAGAGAGGACTGCAATAGGCACTTAATCTGGGTCTGGGATACCGAGAGGCCTCCCTGGGAATTTCCAGGCCCTGAAGGTGCTAGCTTTTCATACTTGGAAGCCCTGCATGAGGTGAGCCACATTTTCCCAAAAGTCTCCCACCTAGTTCCAGCAGGATAGAGAAGTGGCCGCCTACCCTGAGACTTAAGTAATCCTCCTCCCAAATCTTGTCTTATTGGCTCTAGGATAGGGTGAGATAGTGGTGTACATGAGAAGTGAGCTGTGGGGCAATAGGTAAGAGGTTCATGTTTAGATAGGGCAATTTGTTTGTCTGTCCCCCTTTCCCTGATGGAGCTTATACTCAGGCTGGCAGGGGGAAATGATATTAGGGAGGTATATTTCTAAGGGCCTGGGTGCTGAGAAAGAAGAGCAGTTCAGTCTTGAAAATCAAGGTGTATTAAAATTTAAGTTTTTAAATTTTTTTAATTTTTAATTTTCTGTGTGGTACATGCACTTGCTGGGAGAGAAGGGAGAGAGAGAGGAGAGGGAGAGGGAGAGGGAGAGAGAAAGCGAGAGAGTAAGCAGATAAGTTCGAAGTTGAGCGCAGACAGTGATTGAGAGAGAGAGAGAGAGAGAGAGAGAGAATGAGAAATAACACCATCGGGGGTATGGCTAATGCTGCAAACCCTTCTTCTCCACCCTCTTAGGATTTTAGGCATGCATGCACACAGTGCCCTGTATGTTTTTCAATTCACTGGGTCTGGGACGTGAAACACACAATCAGACATTTGCGATCCAGTCGCCTTAACTTCCAAGCCACCTCCTGGCACAGTACATTTAATTTTTAAAGGCCCAAATAAAGCATGAATTTAAGACTTTAGTTATACTTTATGCCCATTAGGGTTATTGTCCAAAAAGGCATGTTTTAGTTTACAGTAAACAAACTGTGCCTCTGGAAAGGATTATAGATTTACAATCTGAACTCCTGCCCTTTCTTCATTCCAGTATTCTCCAGTTCACGATGTAAAGAATAAGGTATAGCCAATCAGATGACTGTCATTTTATCAATTTTTAAATTCTTTTGGTTACAGGGTACATGTACTTGCCAAAGCAAGAAAGAAGAGAGAGAAAGAGAGAGAGAGAGAGAGAGAGGAGAGAGAGACTGAGAAATCACACCTGGGGGATGGCCAACTGTAGTTCATTTTTGTACATTCTACTCTTAGGATTTTGGATATGCGTGCACATGGACCCAGTGTGATTTTCAAGCTGCCAGGTATGGAACACGAACCGGGCACTCGGCCATGTGGGACCCAGTCACCATCACTTCCACACGACTTGCTAGACTGGCTGTGTTACTTTAAATGCACCAATGTAAACTTTTTTTCTTTTTTCCTTCATTCCTGACCAGATCATGTGCACATGCATGAGCTAGAAAGAGATAGAAAGAAGGAGAGGGAGAAGGAGAGAGAGGAGCACCCTCTACAGGGCCTAGTTACACCTCAGTCTGATCCCTGCAGTTTGAACTGTCTCATTGTTTCTTTTATCCAGTCCAGAAAGCTCGAGATCCTGGTGTAGACACGTGGAGGTTTTCCATTATTTTTTCCATAGGAGACAATTCCCTGGGCCACATTTTTACACACGAGAGGGCCTCCTGAATCTCCCTGTGGGCAGAGAGAGAAAGGTCTGAGCTGGCCTCCTCCAAGTCCTGCCCTCCCTTCCTCCCCTAGCTGGATGTCTCTGTTAGGGGGCATGTATGTGATCAGGCCCAAGCAGGCCTTGTCACCTCCCTTACTCTCAGGGCTCTGGTCTGGTCCTGATGATTCTTTCCAGATGACTAAGGCTGACCTGTCACTCCATAAAGTGGCTGTGGGGACAGCCACTATCCAATTCCCCCCAGGGAGAAGGGACCAGAGACTGGATTGGTTGGGAAGGCTTAGTGGTGATGGCTATAGCTAGTTTCTACTGCCCTAGATCTCCTCAGATTCTGTTGTCTCCAGGCTGGGCTTGGAAAGTACTGGCAATCTTACCTTATAAGAAGTCTTCCTCTTATTTGGGTCCCCCACACATATTTGGGTGGTGTAATTATAACGGCTTTTGTAGCGAGAAATACACTGCTCATCCTTTTGGACTTTAAGTTCTACTTCATGGAGTTTGACTGTTGTCTTGTTTATACTAATGCGTCCCCAGCCGGCCGTACTGCATATCATCCCTGGTGTCACCTGCATTCTTGTGGGCAGCAGGAGAAGGCGCACCTCAGGGGTCAACTTGGCCTTCTTCTTCAGCTGAAGGCAGAGGAGAGAAATCCTAATCGACCAAAATCTTACAAAGATTCCAGACAGTTATAGGATTGCCTCCTCCATGGCCCTGGGATTAGTGATATTGGAAAGAAGGTCATATTGGGAAGGAGGGATGGGAATGAGGTCATGAGGGTACAAAAATCCCAATATAAAAGTTTCCAAGAGCCAACGGAGTTATGGCCTCACCTGCAGTAACATGATGTCATTGACACGTCTCTTAGAATCATAGTCCGGGTGGGAAATGGGTCTTGCCACAGGAATGATCTGCTGTGTCTTCTCCTGCTTCTTGATGTTGTGTGCCCCCAAGGTGACATTTATTGAGCTACACGGGGAGCAGAGAGGAAGGTTGAGTGCAGGGATGCAGTTCAGGGATACAGTTCTGAGAGCTGTGAAGGGAGGTGGGTGGAGCAGGGCAGGGATTGAGAGAAATTTCAGGGCATGGAGCCCTGGACCTGAACATCTCTATACCCACTGCCTGTTGGCAGTCCCTGGGTGGGAGTTTCTGGATGTAGATGTAGGCTGCTCAGTCATGTATAGACCCTCATCATCTTCAAGTGAAATAACAATTTTCTCTAGTCACTACTTAGGCTCCTGGATACAGCCCTGATCTCTTTTCCACTCATCTTTGACTGGGGTGCTCTATCTCTTTCAACAGGTTTCTTACATTTACATGCCCTTTGTTTCTCCAAATTTTCCTATCCTCCAAGGAGCTCTTTTGTGTTATAAGTGGACCATATTTGCAGCCCTAAAGTTGTAGAGTCACTGTGGAATGTTTATAGAGGCATAGGGACACAGGTAGGAGCTTACCTTCCCTTGCAGTGAGCTGCTGTTAGCACGAAGTCCTGACGCACCAGGAAACCTCCACATCTTTTCACTTTCTCTGGAGTCTGGATCCGAAGAAATGCCATGTAGGGACGAGAATGAGGCTTGGCTTCATGGCCCCCGATGATTTTCTCTGAAAGAAAAAGCCTGCTTTGCTTTCTGTGCTTATGGAGCCAAAGGCTAAAGAAGTTGACACTAGGATAAACTACAGAGGGAAGTAGTCTGGTGAAGTAGTGGGGAGTGAGTCAACAGCACTCTGTAGCACCCAAGAAAGGAGCCTTAAGGGTTCTTTTGATGGTATTCGTACTATGGAAAAGTCGTGACTTTTTTTTCTATGCAAAAATGCATCATGATTTTTCCAACAACTTGATATTTCTGATTTGCAATGACCTGTTGGGACTGATTCTCCCCCTGACAAAAAGAGCAGCCCTTCTTCCTTAAGTCCTGATTCAGACATTTTTATCAACAGAAGTGGTTTGTATCTGGAATAAATCGTGAAGACCCCATAGAGCCCGGAAAATCCTATTTCTGAAGTTCCCTTTGCCTTCTTCCTTCTTTTGTTTCCCAGACCCACTGGACTTCTGCTGTTTTGTAATATTTTGAAACGGGCTCAAGATGTTGAGTTGTGTTTGATCTTTTTATCTTGTAGAGCCCAGCACAAAATGGCTGTCAGGTAAATGTGTTGGCTGCATACAGAAATGGCTCCCAATTAGCTCTGGGTGAGGGTTGGCTGGGGTAGTGCTGGCGGCAGTTTTGGAAGTTCTGATGGGATGCCGAAGAGCTGGGAAAATGGGGCCTAACAAAGCCATTATACCCATCTGTATTTAAAAATGCTGAATGTCATAATACATGAAAACTAAAACCATAAATAAACAAAACAGTGACAACTGAAAATTGACCAAATAGAAGTTGAATATAAACTAAGGTAAAAATGAATTTTTTTTTCTTTTTAAAGAGTATTTTTGTGATATAGCATGAAGTCTTACCAGAGAGACAGAAAGAGTCAAAGAGAGAGAAAGATAGAAATCACCTCATGGGGGTGATGTCCATGCCACAGTTCCTTCTCTGCCATTCTCCTCTTGGAATTTTGGGCATGCTCGTACATTCTCATGCGTTTGTAGCTGCTGAGTTTGGGACTCAAACCATGGCTGGTCATATGGGAGTCCAGTGCCTTAGCCGCTATGCTACCTGCTGGTCCCGGTAAAAATAAATGTTAAGTGACCAGATGTTATCAATTCTGAAATAAACTGGACCTTAGACTTCTTTCTAGGGTAGTATAGAACTGACGACATTTGGAGAAGAGGCTGTAGATTGAGAGTAGATTTTGAGTTAGAAAGTTAGTGTCCTTACCTTGACTGTAGAGAACAACCCTCCTTCCAAGCTGCTTTTTCTCGGGGAAATTAATTATTTCTTATTCTCAGGTTTCAACATACTTCCAAATGTTTATGTGAAAAAACTCACTTTCCGAAGGGACCAGCAGTTAGCATAATAGCTATGTCGCTGGACTCCCATGTAGTCGACCACGGTTTGTGTCCTGGACCTGGTGGGTTAAAACTCACGCTGGGCGTGTGTGCGTGCATGCCCAAGATCCCAAGAGGAGAATGGAGGAGAAGGGATTGTGGTGTGGTGTGGCCATCCCCCCTCGGGGGTGATTTCTCGTTTTTCTGTCTCTCTGTCTCTCTCTCTGTCTGTCTGGCGAGCGCACGTGCCCTATAGCTAAAACCTCTCAAAAAAAACCAAACCAAAACAAAACAAAAAACAAAAAAACAAAAAAACACTTTCTGGACAAGAGCAGGACTTAAGGAGGAAATAGTACCCATTGGTTCTTTTGGAGAACAGCCTATTATTCCTGAGTTTCTATCCAGCACCAGATTTCTGGTCTTTGGGTGAGATTTGATCCAGGGTTCAGAATATTCCTGGAGATGGCCAAGAGCCAGCATATGTGAGTGTATAACATCTGAGCAGGACTGTGGGCTGGGGTTAAGGGGATGTTTTTGGGGATGGTCACTCACCTGCTTCAGCCCCGGAGCACAGAAGGAAGGCCAACAGGAGTAGGACCAGCTGCATCTTCTGCCTGGTCGGAGCTGCTAATGCTTTCTGTTGTCTTTAAGACCTGGTGTTCTCCTCTGTGGTTGTAAAGGGTTATACCAGGTAAGAATATGTCAGCCTTGCTCCATTGTCTGACCAAGCCCTCAGGTCCGAGTAGAGCACAAACTTATTAGTCACCACATAAGCACCCATAGCTCTTGGTGCTCACACCAAAAGACCACACCTGCAGAAAACAGGAAACCCAAGTTATAACTTAGGGTGATAGGAGATGTTGCCTCAGCCAGTAATTAACTTTTGAGCTTGAGAAACCTGAGCTTTATTATGATTAATCCAAGAATACTTCCATTTCCTTGACTCTCTGTAAACAAACAGGGTTATCATTTATCTTTTCAGATATATTGGAGACTAGATTCCTAGGCTCTGTGGAATAGACAAAACACCAGTGATCAGAAAAGGATGGTGAGGACCATTCTTGGAAAGAAGAGCAGAATAGAGTGGGAGAAATGCTGAAGAGGCCACGTTTCAGTTGTTTAAGAACTTACTGATTGAGACAGTGTGCAAAGAAGGTGGGCAACGGCAGTAGGTGAGAGGGTATCAAGGGAAACCAAAGCAAAATATTTAGCACATACAAAAATAGAAAATTATCTGTTGATGATAATATATTTGGTAATATCTTTGGACTAATGTGCAGAATATGCATGCTGGGAAAAAGTCATTTTTTTATGCTATAAAGATGTATAGTGCTTAAATGTAAAGAATTAATAAATAAAGAAACACACACACACATCTATATTTACTTTGCCCACAAGTCTACAATTTGGTCAGGGTTGGTATGGAAATTTTGTCTCTGCTCCCTGTGGAGTCAGCAGGAGTAGCTTCAAGCCTGGAAGTGAGAATCTTCTCAAGGCTTGCTCACTCAACATCCAGCCATTAGCTGTTGATGCTGGCAGTTGGTTGGGAGCTTCATTTCCTCCCCATGCTGTCTCACTGCATGAGGTTGCTCCTTTATTCAGGATGGTTGGCTTCTCCTTCTTTATCATCCTCCCAAATGCAAGCCAGGCAGAGGCTGTGTCTATTTTTTTTTTAACCTAGACTTTTACATCACATAGTATTCATTCTATCATATTTCATTGCTCGGAATGATGAAAAGCTCCTAAATGGGCCTGCCGGTGTCAGAGTGGTTAAGGCAGGTGGATCCCATATATCTAACTGTGTGGTTTGAGTCCCAAAGAGAAGGGATGATGGAATGACTACCTATATGGGATGCTTTTTCATTTTCTCTTTCTCTTTCTATCTCTGGTGAGCATATGTGTCTTCTGGTATATTAAAAAGAAAAGAAAAGAAAAGAAAATGCTTCCATACAGGTTAAAAAGAAAGGAACAAGGAACATAGGCCATGTCCCTTAGGAAGGAGGAGTGTTGAAGTCATGCTGTAAGAAGAATTGGTGGGATGAGAGATACACAGTAGCAGTCATCTAGGAAAGGGTAATCTTCACCACTGCTTCTAGGTACATGGAGAGGAGTTAAAACCACTGACTGGTCTAAGCTAGGTCATACTCCTTGGGTTAGTTGAGGTCTGTTCTGTCCAAACCATGTGTACTGAAAATGGCAGAAGTTTTTTGTTCTCTCAGAAGCCATTGTCTTTATTTATTTATTTATTTATTTATTTATTTTGAGAGAGATTTTTGTTATAGAGTACGTGTGCTTGCTGGAGAGACAGAGAGAGAAAGGGAGACAGAAAGCAAGAAATCACTCCCCAAGGGAGATGCCCATGCTGCAATTACTTCTCCTCCATTCTCCTCTTAGGATCTTGGGCATGCACATATATACAGCTGATGTGAATTTTAAGTCACCAAGTCTGGGACTTGAACCATGGTCAACTATGTAGGAATCCAGTGACATAACCATCATGCCATCTGTTGGTCCCCAGAAGCTATTGTCTTTAATGAGTTACTTATACCATGTAAAGTAGGAACTGATGCCAGAGAGCCAAGGTAGTATTCTCAGAATGTTGTATAGAGAAATACATTTAAAATATATTATTATTTAATTTTATGTATTATTATGATTATTTTAAAATTTGCTATAGGGCATATGCACTTGAGAGAGAGAGAGAGAGAGAGAGAGAGAAAGAGAGAGAGAGAGAGAGAAAGCTTACAGATTTGGGACTTGAACTATGATCGGCCATGTAGGAGTCCAGCATCTTAACAACCACTCCTCCTGCTGGCCCATAGAACTACATTTTTTTTTTAAATCTCCCTGTACCATTTGCTAAAAGAATTATCCTGAAGATCTTCCTATAGTGGGGGTGGGGGAAAGAAGAGAGTCATGAACTTGAAAATATTGTTGGTTTTAAACATCTTGGTCATAATTCACAGAAAAAGCAACAAAACACAAGCCAAAGAAACAAAGCACATTGTTAACAGTGGCTCTGGCAGGATGGGAAGCCACAGCAAACCATAAGGGAGAGCCAAAGCCTATGTGGGTATAAAAGCTCCCATGGCACTCCCCTGTCAATGTGGCCTCCCTCTTTTTCAATCTAGCCAAGTTTGGGCACCTCGTACTGGGCAACCTGTTCGGGATGCCAGAAAAAATATGAAGTGAAAAGACATCCGATGGATGGGGCAGCCCAACAAGAAGAGTGTAAGTATTGTCAGGCCAAGAAAGGTGTTCTGGGGGCGGGGGGAGGTTGGTCTAGTAGAGGGTATCTGAGCTCATGGAGTTACAGAGGCCTCCACAGAGGAGGTGGTCTGGTACAGTGTGTCAGAGCAGGCTGAATAGGGTGCACCAGGCATTATCATGAAGGAGCTCCTACTGTGGAGTGTCAGGGCCTGTGTGCCCGGAGGAGGGGACCCCAGAGAGGAAGAGGGGTGGAGCTGATAAAGAGTCATTCTGTAAATCTCTGGGGATTAATCAAAGGAGCAAATATATTCAAGCTCTTTACTAAGCTTTGGAGCTAGCAGGTGGCAGGGCGGTTAAAACACTGGATCCAAAATAGCACACCATTTGGTTCCAGTCCAGGTACCTGTGTCCTGAAAACTATGCCAGGCATGTGTGCATGTGTGCCCAAAATCCTGAGACGAGAATGAAAGAGAAGAGATTGTAGCATGGCCATCCCTTTTGGGGTGATTTCTCATTACTGTCTCTTTCAATGTCTCTGTCTGGCAAGCGCGCACACACCCTGGAACAAAACTAAAAACCAGACCAACAAAACAAACACAGCAATCAACTAAAGAGCTAAGCTTCTCAGTGTCTGAGGTTTAGCATATGGATGGTATTGATGTTAATTTTGTAAGTCTGATGGTTATATTGAAGTTATGTGACATGGTATCCTTGAGTGTAAAAATTATACACGGAGTATTTTGGAAGTGACAAATACCAACAAATATATCAGCAACTTTATTCTCCAAGAGTTCAGGAAAATATAAGTTCTTTATACTGTACTCACTTATTTGTAAGCTTGAGATGGTTTGAAAATTAAAAGAAAATCCATAACCTTCACATATCCAAACAGTCAGCAGTTTGAAGATATAATTGAAAAGAAAAATCTGTTGTAATAGCAACAAAAAGGGTATGTGCTTATGAAAATCTTCATCAGAATTGTGAAAAACTTAAAAATACTCCTACAAACGCAAAAATGACTTGAGAAATAGAACAATATTGCTAGATCTTGGATCAGATGAATCTCATTAAAATATCAATTCTTCTCAATCTAATATATAAATGTGATGTGATTCCAGTAAGAATGTCACGTTCTTCTTCCAGTGCCAGACAAGTCCTAGACAATTTCTAAAATTCATGTGGAAAATAACCATGTAAGAATAGCTAGGTAGGACATTTGTGTTACACAGATATGGTGTGTTGCCTTTTGGTGATGTCGTGTATAGTAGTCTCAACTCGTCTGCTGTGTGATGCACATCATGTTGGGCAAAATCTCTTTACAAACTAAATGATGTATAATGATTGAATGTATAAAAATCCTGAGACGAGAATGAAAGAGAAGAGATTGTAGCATGGCCATCCCTTTTGGGGTGATTTCTCATTACTGTCTCTTTCAATGTCTCTGTCTGGCAAGCGCGCACACACCCTGGAACAAAACTAAAAACCAGACCAACAAAACAAACACAGCAATCAACTAAAGAGCTAAGCTTCTCAGTGTCTGAGGTTTAGCATATGGATGGTATTGATGTTAATTTTGTAAGTCTGATGGTTATATTGAAGTTATGTGACATGGTATCCTTGAGTGTAAAAATTATACACGGAGTATTTTGGAAGTGACAAATACCAACAAATATATCAGCAACTTTATTCTCCAAGAGTTCAGGAAAATATAAGTTCTTTATACTGTACTCACTTATTTGTAAGCTTGAGATGGTTTGAAAATTAAAAGAAAATCCATAACCTTCACATATCCAAACAGTCAGCAGTTTGAAGATATAATTGAAAAGAAAAATCTGTTGTAATAGCAACAAAAAGGGTATGTGCTTATGAAAATCTTCATCAGAATTGTGAAAAACTTAAAAATACTCCTACAAACGCAAAAATGACTTGAGAAATAGAACAATATTGCTAGATCTTGGATCAGATGAATCTCATTAAAATATCAATTCTTCTCAATCTAATATATAAATGTGATGTGATTCCAGTAAGAATGTCACGTTCTTCTTCCAGTGCCAGACAAGTCCTAGACAATTTCTAAAATTCATGTGGAAAATAACCATGTAAGAATAGCTAGGTAGGACATTTGTGTTACACAGATATGGTGTGTTGCCTTTTGGTGATGTCGTGTATAGTAGTCTCAACTCGTCTGCTGTGTGATGCACATCATGTTGGGCAAAATCTCTTTACAAACTAAATGATGTATAATGATTGAATGTATAAATAATAATAAATAATACTACTAAAAAAGAAGAGCTAGGAAGGGGGCAGCCAGGTGGTGCTGTGGTGAAGGCAGATAGACTCCACATGGCAGACTCTGCAGTTCCAGTCCCTTATTCGGTGGCTTAAAAAACATGCCAGGCAAGTGTGTGTCCCCAAAATCTTGAGAGGAGGGTGGAGGAGAAGGGATTGCAGCATCACCATGCCTCCTGAGGGATAGGGTATGATTTTCAGTTTCTCTCTCTCTCTGGTGAGTGCACATGCCCTATAGCAAATTTTTTTAAAAAAAGAAAAGAAAGAATAGGAAAATAATGACACATACACAGAAAGAGCAGTCAGGAGGAGAATTAGCC